ATCTCTTCCAGTCAGTTGGCCAAGTGGTTGTTCTCCAGATTTCTTGACACAACTTGGTGAGCACGTCCAGGCAGCATCTGTTAGCTGAAATATATCAATTGTTATACCATCTATTCCTGGGGCCTTATTTTTTTGCTATTTCCTTTAAAGCATGTTCCAAATGTTCAAAGTTCCAATGTAGCATTCATTATTTCTCCCCTCTTTTTTTTATTTTCCCCCAATCCCCATGTTAGTCTTGCAATTCCACTACTAGGAATATACCCTAAAGTAACCAGAGCTGACACACAAACAGATACATGGGCATACATCTTTATTGCTTCATTATTCACAATAGCAAAGTGATGGAAGAAAAATATGATATATTTACATGATGGAATACTATGCAGCACTGAAAAACAAGGAACTCATAAAATATTACACAGTATGGGTGACCCTGGAGGACATTATGCTGAGTGAGATATCTCAGTTACTAAAGGGCAAATACTGTATAACAGTGTTATAAAACAAATCTTTGAAATCTTTTGTTCAGCAAATTAACTTCTTGATTTCTTCACTTTGCTTTGGCTTCTCAGCACTCTAGTACAATACTGAAAGTCTCTTCTGATATCTATCTTGGTCTTTTCTTCCTTCTCTGTCTTTATAATGACCTTTTGCCTTCTTCATGGATGATATTCTTGATTTCCAAGGCCTCAAACCTATTCCTAAAATAGTTTTGAAATTCAGGTGGGATAAACTCAAGGTCATACTTTGGTTCTTATGGATTTGATTTCACTCTCTAGCTTTAGTTTGAAACTGTATATGAATAGTTGGTCTGTTCCACTAGGCCTCTTGCCTAGTTTTCACAGCTGATATTGAGCTACTCTAACGATTCTTTCCACAGATGTAATCGATCTTATACCTGTGCATCCCATCAGATGAAATCCATGTGTTAGCCTTCTTTATGTTTCTTATAGAAGGTATTGGCAATAAATAATTGATTGTACAAAATTCTGTCGTTCTATCCCCAGTCTCATATCTGTCACCAAGTCCATATTTTCTGACTATTGATCCTTCTTTCACTTTCCCAGCCTTTCATTCCAGTCACTGATTATTATTAATGCATTTTGATTGCATGTTCAATCTATTTCTGACTGCAAAAGTTGGTAGAACTTTTCTATTTCCTCTTATGGTTCTGGTTGTTTGTGCATATACTTGAATAATAGTGGTATTCACTGGACTTCTTTGTAGTCTTAGTGAAGAATATTGAACATACTTTGGATTTCAAAAAGCACGTCTGTCTCAGAAGAGGTGCAAGCCGGAGTACTCCTTAAGTAAGAATAGTGAGACTTTTTTACATCTACTACACACAGGCATATTGTCAGGAGCGGTCAGTCACTGGAGAAGAACATCATATTCAGAAAAGTAGAGGGTCAGCGAAAAAGAGATTCTCAATGAGACAAATTGATTCATTATTGCTAAAATGGCATGAAGTACATCAGAGATCATGAGTATGCACAGAATATGACTCTACTGCATAAAGGGTCACTATGAGTTACATCCCCTTTGTAACATTTAACAACAATGCTTCAATGGGAGGAGACTGAAGGTAGTAGTGTCAGAATTGACTCATAGCTGACCTGCCAGCAGATTTTCAGATGTCATAAATTTTACCACAGGAGATTGTTCCTCTTTCTCTTGCAAAACAGCTGATAAAAGTAAACCATGTGCTCTGAATTGGCAGCTCAAGTCCTTATCATTAAGCCACAGGAAGATAGTCCAGTGCAAATGCCAGTGTTCAGTGAAGTTCACTCCAGGGGATAAAAAAACCCACCAAACTACCAGAACAAAGAGTGCTCCTTTCACACCCTTAAGGAATGATAAAGACAATCACAAACTTACCTCTGTTTAGAGCCACTTCTTTA